TGCTCGTACACGAATACCTACATCTGAGTTTTTCTCACACTGTTCAATGTCTATCTCCATAAATTCAGCTAAAATGCATAAGCTTAATAGTAAAAAGCGACTTTTTGGTGGTAAAAATACCACTGTTATAGTTGAAACTTACATTATTCGATTCCTTACGTGAAGTTCTATGTTAGGATGTCTTTCTCATGAGAATCAAAAATGATCTTCATCCCACTGTAGCATCACAAGCGAATTATAGACACGATAGAATAAGGTCACGTATCTAGGGTCCATTACTCCAGCTGTATTTCTTGCCTAATTACGTTACATAACAGGAAATGCGTGAAACTTCGTTCATTAATGGGGAAAAGATTTGGGAGCTACACTGAATATAGATTTTAACTGAATAATGAATATGGAGAACATTATTCCACTTAAAGGCTATCAAAAAATTAAAAAAACGCCAGATGTATTCATTGGTATGTGTCGAATTTTGGCTTGTAAGCGAAGCGATGATTGTCGAGATCGTCGACTGCGACGCCAAGGATGGTCTGCACTGTATTCTTTCTCGATACTTCAACAAATAATTTTCGCTACCAAACAGCAAAGCATCAGAAGAAAATATGCGGTGGTTTTTGATACGAACAGTAGAAATTAATTAAATTATAAGCGCATTTGTGGAGAGAGACCATAATTGTTATTGAATTGTTAAGTCAATGTCTGTTTACATTATTAGAATGTAGTGTTCTTACATTGATATCATTGTTTCTTCTCATATGTTTCGTCCAATAATCGTAAAAACTATGTTACAAGAGTTCGATTAAACAATCGTCTGGCCTTTTTTACAGGTTGAAATTGAAAAATTTATACTACATGCAACTCAGACCATATGGAAAACGTATTCTCTTTTTTTTCAATAGAATGGGGAAAGATCAATGAGCGCTAAAACCAGTTCCCATGAAAAACCCGATTTTTGATATCTCAAGGAATGGCACAGCATGTTTAAAAATGATCGTGGACAGAACCAGATCGGTAGTTGTTACTTCTTCAAGTCAATGCGCACAAATCCTTTGTTTTTCTCATATATAATTGATGCAATGCAAATTCGGACGAAGACTATCTAGTACTATTCTTGAAATTCATGCCTAGTCAAGTTATTTTTATATCACCGAAAATGCTTTTTATGAAGCCACAAAATCATAAAAGATTGTGTAGGGAAAACCATTAACCAAGAGGTTATCACGAGGAAGACATCGTCTTCAAGTGCTTTTAGCACTAGTGTTCTTCATGGAAGTCGTCTATTACTTTGAAACAATACAATCAATGACAAAGTTAGCTTTTAAATTATTTGAAATAGAAGGAACACCAAAATATATATGCTGAAGTGACAGATGACAATAACTTCGCGACTACTATGAACGGACAGTACTCGTTGCTCCGTTGCGCTGTGATCATTGTCATTGGTTGAGCATGGAAGTCTGAGAGTTAGTTAGCGTCCGTAGCTTGATCAATGAAGTTTCTGAACTGTATTTGCCGGTTTTCGATCCCTCGGCTTCGGTGGTATACAAAACATGCAGTTGATGCAACGTCGTTAAAACAACCCAAAAAACCGGTTGCCAATGGGACAGTTTCACCACCAGTTCAGAATGTTTTCCATTTAAAATTGATCAGTTGGATCATAGATCATTGCTGCTTTGTGAGTGAATTGAGTGGGAACACATATGAGATTTGGCTAGCCCTTGCACTGTTGTATATGCTACTGTACTTGTCCGATAAAAGTGGTATTAGATAATCTGTCTTCGTTGTATGCACAAGCACGATTGAATTCTGTGTAAAAAAAAAGCTGTCAGACTGAACCTTAAAAAATTCTAGATCTGAGTACCATTTTAAGAACTCTTTGAAGTTCGAGCATAATCTAGTTCTATCTCGAACCTTTTTTTGTTGCTTCTTTCAAAAGTAGTTCTAGCCTGGTAAAAAACAGTCTATTCAACACATTTAATCTAATAGTGTTCATTAGTTCTATATCTAACCCTTATTTTTATTCTTAACACCTTACCCCTATATCTACAACTGCCTTATTCCTATCCCTAGCCCCTTATTGCTACCCTTAATCCCTTATATCTAAATCCAACCCGTTATTTCTATTCTTAACCCTTATCTCTATATATAACACCTTTATCTCTAGTCTCAACCTCTTCTTTCTATTATTGATTACTTATTTCTACCCTTAACCCTTTATTTCTGAATCTAACCCCTTATTCCTATCTTTAACTAGGCTAAGAAGTTATTGCTATTTTTCTATTATTATTAACAATAACAATAACTATTTCTGTTACTGTCATTTATAACAATAACTTTTTTTGTTATTGTTATTTATAACAGTCATATAACAAATAACTCTTAGTTTTTTACGGTGCCCGCCACGCAAAATTCAAGTGAAAATTTTTTTTTGGCGTTTTTTTACATCCTTTGATAGAGCGAGAGCTGCTGATCACGAAAATCTACTTTTTAACTTTAGCAAATACTGCCTTCCGGTCGCAAAATACGAAAAACTTGCAGAAAGTCGTTTTTTTTCAAAATGTACATTTTTTTTTCTAATTTCTTCTTCCTGCAAGCTTCTGAAATGTTTTTTTCAGATTTAGCATCAAAAGCTGAATATAGACAAGTTGTTAAATCGACTTTAATTCGAAAAATCTTTTGATAGTGCCACGTTGAATCGTCCCGAATGCACTACTTATAGATCGATTTTGTGAACCTATCTAGTTTTTCTACGTGAATGATGAAGTGAAATATTTTATCTCATTTGTTTCATAGTACCATCAGTCATAAAGTTACGCATCGCTTTTTTTTTCTTTTCTTTTATTTGTCGAGAAAAATCGTTTTTGCTAATACTATGGAATAACGGGAAAGTCGTTTTTAAATAAAAGGCCCATTTTTTACTCAAATCAAGTAAAAATTTGTTCACATAGGTAACAACAGATGACAAATCGAATGAGCATGCTTTAAGGATCTCTAGAGGATCTTTAAGAGGTCTCTTGAAACTTTTTCTTGAAAAACTAGTATAAACGGAAGTGCTTGTAACACGTCTGTTTCTTTAAGATTATTTCATTTGCAATCGATCTAAGTTAGTTTCATATACGTGTTCAAGTGAAGAGTTATAAGACATTCACAAGTCATGGAAATATGCATGCGTTACATACTGGATTTTCCCAACGTGACGTGTTGAGCTTTTCCCCAGCGTATTATCACATGTTCTATGTTGGACTTTCTCCCATAACAAACGTATTTACGTCATACTTGATATTCTTCAAAATACTTATATATCCCTAGTGAAATTACTCATCAAGCGAGTACCACTTGCCAGCGTGAGTACTCAAATTACTTGCCCGAGTACTCGAGCATTTTTATGTGTATTTATACTTTTCGTGTACTACAGTGAGTATTCATATGAGTTGTTTCTTTAAGATTTACTCGTAGACAAAGATATGAGTACTCAATGTAGTACTCATCTTCGTTTATTTCCAGAATGTTTAACAAACACTTATGCACTAGCATGTAAAAAAATAGAATGAAGTTGTGTAATAAAGAAAAATGCTGTAATGAAACACAACATAGAATAGAATTGTTTTAACGACTTATCTTTTAATCCTTCGTTCTTTTCTGATGAGTCATTCGTACTGCTTTGATGAATGGTTGTTCCAAAAATACAAAAACGACTTTTCATTTTCAACTGTTCATTTATCGAGTAACATTAAATATTGATTTCAACATATAAGCAATAATTCGTTCAATTTCATTTCATAAATTTTAGACAGAATGTTCTTTTAGATTAATAGACAATTTTTGCAGATCGATAATGAAAATTAATGAAACAAACGTCGAATAATAATTTTTGATACAAATTGGTTAGAATTCAAAGTACTTGAGGACATACGCATCAAATTAAAAATTAATTTTTTTATTTTTTATTCATTTTTTTGCGCATTACTAAGTTCAATCTAGCTATGAGTGTAAAATATGAGTTTGTTTTTTTCGCAATGAACTATAGCATACATTTATTGTTATCGTATATTTTAATTACATCAATAATTTATTATCCTTCCTCTTTACTGATGTTGTATGATTCTCAATACTTATTTTTATTTACTTCTTTTCTATGCTCTAAAGATGAAAATTCATTTCTATACTCTGTATAACAAAAAAGTTGATGTCATGCAGCATATTTAGCTATCAACTTTCATGTTTTTCTCAACTTTTCATAATGTACGACTATTTTTTGCTATTAATTATATATTTAAATAAAGTAGATGGAGTACAACTGTACTGAACAGAATATAAACCTATGACTGTTTTAAATAAATTACTAAAGTACACAAAAACAGTATATGAGTATTCAGAAAACACTCAAAATTATACGGCGAGTATTCGATAGTCGTACTCAGATACTGAAATTTTCAGCACGGGTACTTGATGGTCGTACTCAGATACTCGGATTCTAGTACTAATACTGCTGATGAGTACTCAAAACCCACGAGTACTCGCGGCATTTTCTAGCGTGAGTACTTTTTGAGTACTCTCTTGATGAGTACCTTCACTAGGGATATGTGTTCGTGCTCCGGTTTGGGTAGTCATTCACTATTACGTCTACTAGCGCACTAGTTCTCTTGCTAATTCTGTTCTTCGTCTCCTTCTTGTTCCCTTCCTCTCTTGTTTCTGCTTGTTTTCTTCGACTTACAAGATATTGTTATTGAATACGCCAGAACTCGCGTGCATATAGTACAAAAGCTACAATGTCTAGACCAAATAAAAGAAAAAGTCAATCACACAGTGCATCAGCTCGTCGCTGGTCAAACATAAGGACTTCCTCTTCAAGCGACTCGTCAAATGAAGAATACAGTATGGATATTGATAATCAATGATTACCTTTTAATGAAAAACTTTTTTTGACCGACATTGGTGATCTTGCTGAAATGTGTAAGTCGAAATGTGACACGAAATATCTTAGCACTTTGCTCTATATGTCATTGCGTTTCTTCAACATCAAATGGGAAGATATTGATGAGTTTTTAAAAAATATTGGTTTTATGACCGCACAAACGTCTCATAAATGGGCAACAGTGTTTGTTAAAGGAGATTACGAAGAGTTTTCAAATGATTTACGTGGTTGTAAACAAACTGATTCATTTTATGATATGTTTTCCGATATCGAAGCAGATGCTAAAGCATTCGTTGTTCAAGCATGTTCACGAAAAGCAGCAGATTTCAAAACAATAGACCTGGCCCAATCTATTGATGAAAAATATTATGAACTATCGAGAATTGAGTAACAAAGTGGTGACGATTTGATAAGATCCGAAAGCAGTTGTCGTTTAGATCTTCGTAGATGGGATGCTAAATTTGAAGCTAATTCACAACGTCCATATTTTGAAGAACACGAAGGGACGATGAGGTGAAACATCGTAATGAATTCACTAATTATTTTTTGCACATAAAGATTCTTATTACACAGTTACTGATGGTGACATACCTATATGGAACATTCCGATATAAAATCCGCATAGAATATTATATATATAAGCACAACAACCGAAACTTTTTAAATATAATTTTTTATCCTGCTTTTCTTCGTGTTTATCTTTACTAATTCATGATGAATCAACGTTCAGAAGTGGTGAAGTTAGTCCAAAACGCTGGTTTTTTAAAGAAAACACACCATTTTTTTCAAAAGATCGTGGTCGTAGTTATATGGTATCTGATTTCCTTGTTCAACATCCGAGTGGACCGTTTTCTGAACTTACGAGGGAACCGTTCGAAGTGATTCATCGCTTTCGAGCTAATATTTTGGGGATATCGAGAGGACCTTTAGACTAGAAAAACTCCAATAGGATTCGGGCCCATGGTTCTCCTGTCTTGAGATACTGAATTTTTAAGTTCCTCGGTAATATAGCGATTTATAACATATATCACTGCATCATACCACGAAGGAAGATATACTGCACACTAAACTTTTCCTGATCATCAGCATATAATCCTGGAGTTCACAGGCTTCTACTTCATATCTCTGGCTGACAATAGTTTTTTCATAAATCAAAACGTCATGATAGGCACATCTGCTTGGCGATGAGAAATAGAAAGAAATCCGTATTACACACATTTTATCACGTTCTATTGTGTCATCTGATAGAGGCTGCGTTATGATTATCGTGATAAGCAAAAGTATGGTGTGATACACGTGGCTCGCGCGGGTCTTCGTTGTAAGATATATTGTTTTCACTCAACTGTGTAACCAGAATGATAATTATTCCAACGAGAATTGGGAAGCTATCAGTTGATCGAGTGACTGAAAATGAAGAATCATACTGTCGACGATCCGAAACAAATCCACGTGAAGAAGAAATAATTAGTTCTTTGTTAGAAGTAATTGACAATGTTTGCAACTACACCTCGTTCGAAATTGATTCAGACATGACCCTTGATTACGATGACACCGAAGAATTTAGTTACTTTGAGGAGACTGCGGAAGCTGAAAGGTCTCCGATTAAACTGAACTTCAGTCTTGATTACATGAAAAAAGTTATTGATTATTACGATGAGCGTGATTCGAAAGGAAAAAGAAAACACACGTGGAAATCGACCCAGCACCGATTCAAATCCATTCCTCACCGACAATATCTTGCTTGCTTTCGTCATTACATTGAACAAGGTAGCACAAAACGAGAGAGAATGCAAGTGATCGATGATTTCATTTATGACAAGTTTGAAGAAGCTCGAGATGCTCTTCTCTCTGTCCACGATCGGGATCTAAAACGATGGGCACCTCAAAAAGCTACTGAAGATTCTGTTCTTACATTTGAAGCATCCGAATATTGACTGCGGATCTTCAAAGATAGCCATCGTATTTGTTCGAGAAAAATTACGAAACTAGTGACGCGTCATCATGCAGAAAATTCTGATGCTATCATTGCATCTGCTGATTCCTTTTTAGCAGATGTGAAACGGAAGATGAAGGAGTACGCACCTGGAGAAATTCTAAATACTGATCAGGTTGGCCTGGAACTTGAGCTTCACTCGACTAGAATACTTTCACATGAGGCTAAAAATGTTACTTTGGCCCGTGTGAAGTCAAAGTATGCCATAACGCACTCTTATACTATCCAACCAGAGATATAACCACGATCCACAAATTCGCAATTCAAGAAACTCAAGGAAATTCTAGAACATCAAGCAATTCAAGAAATTCAAGAAACTCTAGAAATTCAAGAAATTCAAGGAAAGGAACAAGTGATATAACATAATGAGTTATAAGGTTTGAATATGTTGGAATTCAAGGAATTCAAGAAAATCAAGCAATTCAAGCAATTCAAGCAATTCAAGCAATTCAACGAAAGCGACAAGGGATATAACATAAAAAGTTATAAGGTTGGAATATGCTGAGATTCAAGGAATTCAAGAAAATCAAGGAATTCAAGGGAAGGAACAATTGATATAACATAATGAGTTATAAGGTTGTAATGTGATGGAATTCAAGAAATTCAAGCAATTCAAGGAATTCAAGAAAATCAAGGAATTCAAGAAATTCAAGAAATTGAAACAATTCAAGAAATTCAAAGAAAGGAACAAGTGATACAACATAATGAGTTATAAGGTTTGAATATGATGTAATTGAAGGAATTCAAGAAAATCAAGCAATTCAAGCTATTCAAGCAATTCAAGAAATTCAAGAAATTCAAACAATTCAACGAAAGCGACAAGGGATATAACATAAACAGTTATAAGGTTGGAATATGCTGAGATTCCAGGAATTCAAGAAAATTAAGGAATTCAAGAAATTCAACGAAAGGAACAAGTGATATAACATAATGAGTTATAAGGTTAGAATGTGATGGAATTCAAGGAATTCAAGAAAATTAAGGAATTCAAGAAAATCAAGAAATTGAAGCAATTCAAACAATTCAAGAAATTCAAGGAAAGGAACAAGTGATACAACATAATGAGTTATAAGGTTCGAATATGATGGAATTCAAGGAACTGAAGAAAATCAAGCGATTCAAGTAATTCAAGAAATTCAAGCTATTCAAGAAATTCAAGAAATTCAAGCAATTCAAAAAATTCAAGAAAAGGAACAAGTGATATAACACAATAAGTTATAAGGTTGAGATACGCTGGAATTCAAGGAATTCAGGAAAATCAAGGAATTCAAGAAATTGAAGCAATTCAAACAATTCAAGAAATTCAAGGAAAGGAACAAGTGATATAACATAATGAGGTATAAGGTTTGAATATGATGGAATTCAAGGAATTCAAGAAAATCAAGCAATTCAAGAAAATCAAGCAATTCAAGAAATTCAAGGAAAGGAACAAGTGATATAGCATAATGAGCTATAAGGTTGGAATGCGATGGAATTCAAGGAATTCAAGAAAATCAAGCAATTCCAGAAATTCAAGCAATTCAGGCAATGGAACAAAATTGAATGGCATAGTGAGTTAGAAAGTGGGAGTACGATGAAACAGAAGCATGTAAAGGCAACCAAAAAAATGAAGAAATTGGAGAAGTTGAAGGAAATCCTAGGAAGTGAAGTTTTCGGAGAAAGTCATATATGAGGGCGTGCTATTTTTTAGGCTTTGATGCAATTCTAGAAATTGACGGAAATCCGGTTGATGGTGCAATAGAAGAAATTCAACCCATTGATGAAAGTTACAGGAGGAAGTCAGTTATTATGGAATATAGTCAAGAATGCCCCTGAAATTAAGTCCTTGACGAAATGTCGCTCGTTTTCGTGCTTGAAAAAAGTCCTTCGTATAAAATGTCCTTTATATAAAATGTCCCGAAGAAATGGTCCTCTGAAATTAAAGGTCTTTTATGACCAAAATGTTCCGGAGAAATGGTCGTCGAAAAATGTCTTTCCAGTAAAAGATGATCATGACTAGATGAAGTTATTAACGATAAAATTTAATTGAAAAGAAGCATTAAAGTTTTATTTAGTTAATCATTTGGAACAAAGAAAGAAAGTTCTTCTAATAACTTTTGCACTGTAATTGTATTATCGTTAAATCGATCATATAACTCATTGGTCCAATCTTGAGGGTGTGGATGCAGTTATATCTGGCATTCGCACCTACATCCACACCCGAGGGTGTGGGAAATTCCTATTTCCAGGAAATTCAAATTTTTCAACATCTCTGATCCTCAGTTATTATGGAATATCCTTTATGGTAGGTAACTTCTGGACCATCCTGTAGATATCATGGGTTTGATTTGGTTGGGTTGGGTTAGGCAGTAGTGTCAAACGTGAAAATTAAATTCAAGTATTCAAATATTACTTCAACTATTCAAGTTTTCAAGTATTGAACTATTCCAGTTTCATAAGTGCTTCAC